GTTTTTAAATTATATGTTGTTATTTATTTGAACGGCAATCTTGTCAAGTCCCCTTTTAACGTCCTTGTTAACTGCATAGACAAGGTACATATGTCATGAATTTTACAAAATTTAAAATACCTGGAAGCCATATTAAATGGATTTCTTGTCACAATGACATGATACATCTCAGATTGCAGATATAGAGTAACTGAAAATATGTGGAATAAGCAGTCACTGACAGCCAACAAATGGTAGTTCTTGAAAATGATGTTATGTTTCCTACTGAAAAACTTAAGATTCTCTCTTGCCGTAAAGGAAGAACATAGGTTGAGTTCAAGAGAGAGTAACAGGGGATGGAGGAAAGTATATAATGAGAGACTCATAAATTACTCTTCATAAAATATTTCAAATCTGGGAGGATGAGATAAGCAGAAGATATGTATAGAATGCATAAAGAAATACACACAAAATGTTAGTTGGAAAATGTGGAGGAAAGAAAGTCATGTTAAGAGAGTCTCTTATGTTGCAGATGGAGGAGGTAGCCTCCAGATGTGGAGGATAACTGCAAATATATTCAGTAAGCAATGTCAGGTGGCCTATAAGGGATGGTCCTCCAACTTGGTGGTTGGATGTGGGTCTAATAACCCTTTACCATAAAATGTTCTGTTTTGAAATGTTACAAGGGCTTTGGCATTGGATGGATTCTTGGAATCACTTAGGTGATGTCTGAAGGACATGAGATTTGGTTCTTGGAATGTAAGGACTTGCATAACACAGGGGCTAGGTCATTGGTTATGAAGGCAGTGAAGTACATTAGGGTATAGTAGAAATATAGGAGGTTCGGTAGCTTGTTGAGAGGCGTGAAAAAGGAAACTGTTTGATGAAGGAAGAGGGACTCAGGGTCACAGCTTTGGATCTGGCTTTGTAGTGAAGAGTTGTCTTCAAACAGTGGTGAAGAAGAGTTTATTAATGATAGGATATTATACCTAATCCTTCAGGTTTAGTAGTGTGATGCTGTTGTAAATGTGAAGTTCATGGTATTGAAAATAGATTCTGTAAGGAATTAGAACCTGTATTTCAACATTTTCAAACACACGACAATCAAATGCTGCTAAGAGATTTGAATGTTAAAGCTAAATGGGAGGATAACTTCAGACCGCTGATAGGGAATGAAAGTGTGTGAAATTAGTAATGGAAATGGGGTGAGGTTAGTGAACTTTACTGTATCTGACTGTTAAGTGCAAAACTTTTCGTATGATATAAATAAGCATATTTGAACTTCTGATAGGATGGCACACAATCGTACTGGTTATATTTTAGTTTATAAAAAATATATTCGAGTGTGATTGATGTCTAGTAATGTAGAGAGACTGTCATTCTTACCATTACTAATGGCAAAATTAATTAAGTGAGAGGCAAGCCAGACAGGTCATAAAGTCTGCTTTCCTGATGTACAGATTCCTAGTTGTTTAAATCGTGTGCTGTTAATGTTACCTTCATGTAATGTAAGTTTATAATATATCAGTGGTATGCACTAATTAGTGTTCTGTGTTTATGTCCACATGGCTGTGTGATCAAATTCCACTTTAGTTACATCTTTTATTGCTTGTAACTGTAAAAATTTTATATAATGTTCTTATTATTAGGTTTTGTTATTAGTATTATTCTATTTTTGTGAAGAAATATACAAATTAAATGTTTTGGATATAACCTCATAGTGTTAATGATGGTATCCTGGATTATACTGCAATCTTTAGGGCTGAAGATGGAAGCAGTATGTTTGTCTGAAACCTATAATTCCACGCAGTATTACAACCCAGAAGGCTACTGTAACATCTTCACTGTCACGAGAATGTCAAATCTCATATTACCTCAAAGTTTTGCACTGTTACCATGTTTTGTAATTACTGGCTTATAAATGTAAATTTTATGCATGTCACCCTAGTTCTGGAACGTGTGGATAAATGTCTAGAAATAATAATAATGTAATATTCAGTACTGTAATTTTATCATCATCATGACTTTTATGTCTTGCAAATCTCCCCTTCAGTTTCAACCATATTGACCAAGTTTTTGTGTTACCAGTTGAGTGTTGACATGCTGGTGCCAAGAAGAGAGACTGAAAATCTGGCAGTGCTGTGCTTATCAAATGTTGACTGCATGATGTTATACATCAACAATCGCCCTGTGCGATATAAGAAGCTAGAAAAGGTAAGTCTGTATCATCTTTCAATCAACACTTCATGTCTTTCAAATTCCTACATAATACAACTGTTCTGTTGTGCTCTTAGATGGTGCTGAAGTACATTTCTGAGTGCTTTTCTGGCCAGCCACTAACTCACAAGTACCCGTACTGTCTTGTGTCCATTGTCATTTCCCCTGGAGAAGTGGATGCCAACCTTGAACCAAACAAAACACGAGTGATGTTGAAGGAAGAGGTATGCATGTATATAGATGACCACCTTTATACAGCACTTGTTTGCTTATTAATATGAATTAGGCACCTTAGTGAATACTGATTTATGTACACAATTTTTTGTCATTTGATGTTCCTGTATGCATGCTTATATTTGTGAATGTTCCAAGTGGGTTTGGTGGTCTCCCAATTTGATTTTGAGAGTTCTGTAAATTCACTCATTTCATAGAGCAGAAACCTTGCATTGTTGGCCTAGTTCAGGGGTTGACTGAATTTCTAATAACTTTGTGTCTGGCTTGCAGTAAATATGGTAACACTGTAATCCAAACATATGGTCAGCTTTAACCTTAGATATATGATCATGGACTCTCCTCATTGTTGCAAGAAGAACTTTTTTAGTGCCGAGTGTGAACTAACTTAATTCGATGATGCTTGTTCAGGGCCTAATAATCTTTATCCCATCTTTCAAATTCAACTTCTCTCCTATGCCTGTTATGCATTAAATCTTAGTTCCTGATAATAGTAAAATTTATGAGAATTTAACCTATTCCAGATATAAAAAGTAAAAGTAAAGCTGTCCCACTATATGTCATGTAGGCGCTTAGGGGGAGGGTAGTGGAGGTATAGCTCCTACTTATTCTTGACCTCGGCACTAGATGAGGGTAAGTGGTCAGCATCACGCCCCGGCTGTGCTTTACCCCCGGGAAAGAACCCCGGTACCCATTGGATAGGTTAAATTCTAAAGTATACAAAATTATCACTCATAATATTTGTGCTTTTAGTGCAGTAACTCTGTGATAGCATCTCATCTCTGCGTCATTTCTCGTAATGTAGCTTTCATCACGTTAATGTTTCATGTTTACATAACTATTTAAGTTGATAAGTGTGCCATGTCTGTTGTGGAAATCCGTCCGAAATATTTTCCTTTATTTTGTACAGAATGAAGTACTGTCAAAAATTGAGAATTTGCTTTCGTCATATTATGGGGTCAAAGAAGATGTCCAGCAGACGTCACATGCTCCAGATGTAACAGCATTAACTGGAGGAGAACAAGCATCTGTTAAAGCGTCCACCAATCAGCCTAACTCAAGCACAAGTAGAGGGAAAGTAGTCGGTCCAGAACTGAAAGGGAGTGAGTGCAAACGAATGAAAGTGGACACTGCCTTAGTTGGCAAGGAAGAA